TAACAAACAAACAAGGATTCAAGAGGGGATAAAGACTGAACTACAGTCTCTTAATTAAAACATAGATATCTAGCTGTAAATAGCAAATCAGCAACACACTGAACAGAGCAGAGCTAGAGAGCTACCAAGTGTTTGCAAAGGATTACAGGGTGGAATGGGTATTTATAAGCAGTGGCGGCCTTAAGCATCTGGGGGCCTGTTTCAAAAGCAAATGTGGGGCCCTGTAAAACATAAGAGCTTCGTCATTTTGCTGGATGAAAGCTTACACCTTAGCCTATTCTAGAGAAATTTCAACTTTTCTGGCTGAAACTTGATGTTTATTTGTGATGATTTATTAAAATATTGCCAATAAAAATATATGCCTATATGAGTGTGATAAATTTCTCAAAAACTGAAATGTGCAACTCAGCCCAACAGGCTAGCTGCATTGCAAACTGCACTGCAAACTTTATTCTTTGTTTTCTTCTTAGGGGATGGGGTTACTGGATAGCTCTACAACATAATCACTAGATTAATGATACGGTAAAATTTGGATGTAATTCAAACTTCAACATCCCACCAATGTAATTTAATATAATCGCTTGAGTGGACTAGGTTTAGAAGCACTAGATGACTCGTATTGCCTGACCTTAATTCAAATTTGCATTGTAGCTATAAACACTACACGACACTAGGTGATGGGACATCCCTCCACTTTGTCAGAGAATGAGGCTGCCTTTGCCATAGCCATAATTATAATGTGTAGCTATACAAAACCATCAATTCAGCGTGTTCATCTTATTAGTGTTTTCATTCAGTTGCGATGCTATGTGAACGAAAGAGCATGTTTCTTCGCCCAAAGAACATTTAGCTAACGTTATATTAAAAAGTACACAGTGTGTTACGTTAATATTATGTTCTGATAGCAGATACGCGAAAATCGAGCAGGTCCACATCGGTAATTCCTGCCCGATTGCTGTTTCTGCGCAGAGATGCCTGAACTGCGACTTGTCCCAGAAAACTTGCCTCTCGTTGGCTTTGGTTGGGTTATGTCCCGAAACTCCTTGGGTATAGAGTAGCTGGAAGTTACCTTATAGCCATAACTTCTAATTTTAGAAATCTGCGCACATTATGCGTTTCGATGAAAGGTTGGAAGCATACGTTCGTTTTCAAGGTGCCCAATTTCCGTCAAATAGGCTACTGATCAGACACCAATAAAAGCTAAGTAAACGAATTTTTTCATTTTGCAACTAAAATTTTGTGAATTATCAACGCATCTTATCGATGAGAAACTATGTTGACTGGGTCGGTTCCGGAGGCTAGCGGACCGTGACCTGGCCCGAATGCAGAAATCTCTATAATGTTCATTGATAATTTAATGCGTAAAAACGCATAAAATTGACAGATAATGCCTTCAAATGTACAACGCTCACCGTTTTATTAAATATTAAATACCTCCAGAATGGAGCAAGCGAATTACTTTTTTTGTTGTTGTTGTTCACATACCAACTGATAAGTCCGAGGCGCTAGCAACATTGGCTGAAGTGACGACTGTATTTCCGAAATTTTCAGAGTATCAGCTACCATAGCTCTTTAGCTACCATCATTTGTAGACGATGAATAATTACTACACTTCTTAGCCAGCTCAGTCTTCGTGCAACTAATATATCTGACGGAGAAAACCAGCAACTCCGACCACAGAAAGCCGTGTATTTTCCCCATTCGCCACAACTCCGAGAAGGAGTATCGGCCACGGTTGCGCTATAATGCCTGCATAGAAGGCTTAATGTGGTTTTTAGAAGTCAGTACAAAATGTGCCAATTTGAGTGGCTATCGGGGATCCCAAACATTTGCCTTTTTTGGGGGCCTCAAATATTTGCCCGGTTTGCCTCTCCTGGCGGTGCGCCTCTGCATGTTTTCATACAGTCAAGGTTTAGGATGTTAATTGTGGTCCAACAGTTGGGAGCCCCCTGGAGGGCGGGGCCCGTTTCAGCTGAAACAGTTGAAACATAGGTAAGGCCGCCTATGTTTATACGGAGAATGAGCTTAATTTGAAAATGAGTTACAGGTGGATTTAATTAACCAACACCTGCAGGAACAGGAGCAGGCTGGTGATCAGTACTCCGGTGAGGCTGAGCGCTGAATGGAAGGTGGGTGAGGCATGACAGTCCCTCCCCCCCCCCCCAAGGTCTTGCTCCCGTCGCGCGGCTCAGCCAACCTGGAGGGTGGCCCCGGCGACAAGGTGCAGGCTGGTCTGGGTGAGCATGGTGGATTTCCGTGATGAGGTGAGGGTCCACGATGTTGTGTGTGGGGACCTAACTCCTCTCCTCATGACCTTAACACTCCCAGTCCACCACGTACTGCATACGACCCCGGCGACGCCTGGAGTCCAGGAGGGTGCGCACCTGGTAAGCCGGTGTGCTGTCCATCTCCAGGTATGGAAGTGGGGCCTCAGGGTGGACAGCCTGAGAAAGGGGACCTAAGACCACTAGTCTGAGAGGGGAAAAATGGCTTGTTGGTGAAATCTTATATTGAGGTGGCAACTGAAAGGTATATGATAGCTCATGAACCTTCTTGAGGGCTTGAAGGGGCCAATGAACCATGGGCTCAGTTTCCAGTGGGGCGGGCAGAGGTGTAGGTCCCAGGTTGAGAGCCAGACACAATTCCCTGGTTGGTATTCTGGGGCTTCCCGGTATCGGCAGTCAGCCTGAATCTTCTGGCGGCTGAGAGTTGGGCGAATCTGGATGTTGGTGTTGGACCATACTTTCATGGCCCGCCAGAACCTGGCATACACGTACAGGACTTTGGTCGAGCTCAAGTCCCAAGGGCATAGGGGAGGTTGCTGGCTGAGCACACACTGGAAAGGGGTAAGGCCGGAGGTGTTCATCAGGGAATTTTGGGTGTACTCAGCCCAGGGCAGGAACTTAGCCCAATCCAGTCATTGAGTGTGGCAGTGTGCCTGAGGAACCTCCCTCGATCCTGAATGACTCACTCTGCCAGCTCATTGGACTTGAGGTGGTATCCCAAGGTGAGGCACACTGTAGCTCCCAACTTCATGAAGAAGGCACGCCACACCCAGGATGTGAACCGGGGCTCACGGTCCGATATGATGTCTTCCGGAAGGCTAAAGTTCCTGAAAACGTCTTTGAAAAGGGTTTCTGCCACCTGGAATGTAGAAGGAAGACTTTGAACAGGTTTGAATTTTCAAAACTTAGAAAATCTATCAATAAGAACCATGATTACGGTACTGCCATCAGAGCTGGGAAGGTCAATCAATAGTAACATGAGACTAAGGATGTTGGGGTACTGGGAGGGACTGCAGTTTGCTTGCAGGTAGCTGTCATAGTGATTTAGTGGTGGCGCATGTACAACAGGAGTTGACCGATTTTTCCATGTCGGAGGCCAGGTGGGTCCACCAATACTTGAGGTTGATGAGCTGGATAGTTTGTCAAATTCCGGGAGGGTCGGAAGCCAGTGAGGTATGGGCTCAGGTGATAACCCTGTCCTGAAGAGTGGAGGGAAAGTAGGTCTTTCCTGCCAGCAGTCTGGTGGGAGCAGGCTCCTTCCTTAACTCTTAGCAGATGTCCTCCTTAATTTGCCAGCGAATCAGTGTGATGAGGCGAGAAGTATGGGCTTATCTGCAACCGGGTCAGCCTCGGCATCGTGGCGTTGAGACAGGGCATCTGCTTTTGAATTTTTAGAACCTGGGCGGTAGGTAATGGTGAAATTGAAGTGAGTGAAGAATAATACTTACCTGACTTGACGTGGATTGAGTCGTTTAGCTGTGGGCATGAACTATAAGTTGCGGTGGTCAGTAAATGGGTAAAGAGACCCCTCTGATCAATACCTGCACTGCTCAAGTGCTAATTTCACCGCCAGTAATTCACGGTTGCCCATGTCATAGTCCTCATCTACGCCAATGGTATTTAGAGTCCTTTTCTGGATGATGTCTAGCCGCCTAGGAGTGGTTTGTGAGGCATTCATCAAGGCAGGACAGGAGTACTCCATGATGCTTCTGACCTCGGTTTTGTAGATGGATATGCTGCTGAGATCAACCTGGTTGGCTAACTTCCGCAATGCCCCAAGACGTTCTCTGGCGAGTTTACAGATGTTAGAGAGATGGTTAGTCTACAGGAGGTTTCTGTCAATACTTTTCAACGTAAAATTCCTAATTTTGTGATCATTTTATCTTTTTTTTTTTTAAATAAATTTGGCATCTCCTATCCCACTCGAATCTGGAATGTCCAATTGGGGAACTATGTACAAAGCTTTTCCCCCTATTGCCAACTCAGGAGAGTGAGACAGCTCGGGGCTCTCCTCTGAAGCACGCACCTGTCGCCACCGCTTCTTATACACTCATTGGTTGAAACTTCGCAAGCTCAGAGGGACGGCGGAGGATATCCAAACATGAACGAGCTTAGAATCTTCCTAACGAGCGCCCGTCTGGCCAATAGGAGGCGCCTGAGAACTTGTTATTTACAATACCCTATCCCAGCAGACCCTTCCCAATTTGCATCCCTGTAGCGCATTGGCCAGTTGTGTGCTACTTTGAAGAGAGCTGCTGATCACTGCCAGCTGATACGAGGCGAAATCGAACCCACGCCGTGATAGTCACTTCTGCTTCGCAGCGCGATGCTTTACCGAGTGAGCTATCCGGCAGCTCTAATTTTGCGATTAATTTAAAGGTTCCCTGAAAATACATCTTCCTTTCAGACTGGCGTTTTGTTAGCCTGCAGCATCTTTGTCTTTCTTTATGTTTCTGACATGTACTGGATTAGCTCTCATTTTTTAAGTATGTTGTAAGTCATTGACAGAATTCAGAATCGCAACCTAAATTTTCCCATGTGCCCCCTAAGTGCTTGTCTGGTTAATTATGCGTAGCTCTATACTTCTGGGTCATGCCTGAATACAACAATAACAATAATGTGTATACTACCAACACGTTCTCATCCCAACTCGTCATACAGAGACGCAACCTGACCAAGTGCCGATATTAGGTTAGAGTTAGAGTTTAGGAGGGGGATGTGGTGGTGCAGTGGTTAAGTGTGCTTGACTTGAGATTGAAAGGTCCCAAGTTCAAGTCCTTGCCATGGCCTCTGTGCCGTGTTCTTGGGCAAAAACACTTTACTCCCATGGTGCTCCACTCCACCCATGTGTATAATTGGGTACCGGTAAATGTGAATGGGGTAACCTGCAATGGACTAGCATCCCATGCAGCAGAAGTAGCAATACTCCTAGTCACTGTGTGAAACCAGAGTTAAGCACCAGCCCAATGAGCCACCTGGCTCTGGAGAGACCCTGCCTTTGCCTTGCTTTGTTTGGTTTGGAGGAAGGGTTTGTTTTAAACCGGCATCAAATAAGGATGGCAAAAGCCTCCTTTTCCATTGGGGATCGATGCTTAGTCAGGTTGCGTCACTATATGACACTTCGGGATGAAACTGGGCTCATATTATTTATTATTATCCATCTGTTATATTCCCGTTTATACCTGTTCTGGGTCACTGGAGGGCTGGAACATATCCCAGCATGCAATAGGTGAGAAGCAGCATCTATACCCAAACAGTTCATCAATCCACCACAGGACACACACCTCATTCACACACGCTCTTATACCAATGGAGGAGTGGCAAATTGATGGAAAAATCAACGTAAATAGTCTCAGTGAGGTGTTGGGCCTCCATAAGCTGCTAGATCAGCTTCAACACAGCTTGACACAGAGTGTACAGGTGTAAAACTGTACTGCAGGGATGGAGGACAGTTCTACTAAGAGATAATCCCTCATTAGGTGTTTTTATGATAGTTATGGAGAGCACTGTCTAACACATTGTTCCAGAATCTCCCACATGGGTTCAGCTGGTCTGAGATCTGGTGACTGAAGGCAGTGGCATGAGCTCAGGATCATTTTCATGCTCATAAAAGCATTCAGTGAGCCCTTGTGCCCTGTGGGGTTTGGGCCATTATCAGGGGTGCACATAACTTTTTTGGTGTGGTTCTCAAGGGAGCACCTGGAGATGCTCCCTGGTGCTCACTCTTTACGCAGCGCCCATCATCATCGCAGCCGTCCTTTCCTGCAGAGCACTCAATATGCATGCGTTTTCGATGCAAATCAGCCCACAAACGAGGAAGTTGAGCAAAACAAAAAAATTAAAATATTTCTTAATGTATATTTACTTTTACTTAGAAAACAGTAAATCTTTCTTATGTTCAATTTCATCAAGCAAGAGGAGGATTTCTTCCTTTGTGAATGCTAACTTTCGTGGCCTTTTCCCCTACATGACCGATTGTCAGACACCGTGTTGCCACATGCCAATTTATTGGAGCAATCAGGCTCTGGATTGTTTAACTGAACAATGAACTGAGCAGACAAAGGTTAAATGAGTTTTACGTCATTATTAAACCTTTTCTTAATTATTTCTATTCTTGTGATCTTTCGTTGTAATATTTCTGTAAACTAATTTAATTAAAAAGACACTGAATCAATTTAGTCATATACTAATGATGATGACAATGTGTTTTTAAAATATTGTATTTCAGTGTTGATTGGTTAAAACGAGGGACGTTCAATCTCATAGCATCGATTTATTAACAACTAATGCTTTAGCGAGGACTCAAGAAACTCTCCGCAAAATTCCTCTTTAGGCCCGTCTAACGACTGTGTTTGGGAAACCCACGTAAGGAGAATGTGACGAACATGAGAGAATGTTCGTTGCTTAAGAATCTCTGTGCCACGCTCGTTAATCCTGAGATCCAACATTATCGGGAAACCCACTGCAGAGCTTTAAACAAGCATGGTTGCCAGTCAAAACAGCCTCCGATGGCTCTCAAGTCAAGAACACACAACTTCAAAACAAACAGCTTTTGGTCCACGGACGCAATCCAAGGGAACAGTGGATTGTTAATGGATAAGAATAGTTTTTTTTTTTTTTCAGTATGGGAAATGTAATACGTAAAATGTAGATATTTCTTCTAGAAATTTTCCAATAAGGCACCGGAGTTTAAGGTAGGATTACGAAGCTTCTGAAAGGGATTTGCATGCATCGGTGCTCTCGTTGAAATGGGGCAACGCATAAAATCTAAGCAAAAAATTAAGTACTTCGCTTGTACCATTGCGGAGATTTTCAGAATTTAATATGTGGTGTGCTTTGATGTCTTCTATGACATTGTCGATCGTAGAAGGTATTTTCAAAGCATTATCTAGCTAGCTCCTGCGATTTTTGTCGCATTAAATTGCCCATGAACATAATGGAGGTTTCTGGATTTGGGCCAAGTTATGGTCCAGTTGCCTCCGGAACCGGGTCGGTCAAAAAAGTTTCTGATTGATAAAATTTCCCAGAATCTAAATAGAAATATTAAAGATCACGTCTATTTAGTTTTTAACAGTGTCTGACCAGTATTTTGTGTAAATTATAAGCCTACACCTTGAAAACGACCGTATGCTTACAACCGCTCATGAAACGGATAATGTGCGAGATCTTAAAACTTAAAAGATGAGGATATAAAGGCAGTTCCCGGCTACTCCATATTCAAATAGTACTTAGGAATACCGCAACAAAAAGCCGACAAGAAGCGAGTTTTCTGGGACAAGTCAAAGTTCAGGCAGCTCTGCACGGAAACCGTATTCGGGCAGAAAATAACCGATGCGGACCATGCCGATTTTCCCCTGCTTTGATGGATTTGACGTTTTGCTAATTTGGGTGAAAGCTGAGTAAACTTTAAAAGCTAATAATTAATGAACACACTTGTCATAATGTCTTCTGTCTTACCAGAGATGTATGGAGAAAAATCCTATTTCAGTAGCCGAAGTAAACCAGTCAAAAATGCCAAATATGCTGGTATGCAATTGAGCTTCCCTTCAAGTTTTCTGCCGCGCAATTTCTATTTTTTCTGCGCATTCGCACCAGCGCACCAATTATGTGCACCCCTGGCCATTATCATCTAGGAAGAGACCCCTCCCATCATGGAAGTAATACTTCATCACAGGATATAAAGGTGATTCACACAGAATAACTCTGCACTGATCTGCAGTGACCCTTCTGCCTTTAAGGGGACGAGAGGACCCAAACCAGGACGGGAAAATGAACAGAAACATTGAACAGAAACATCTGCTTTTGTTATGTTTTGACGCATTCATTCAGATGTGGTTCCTTTAATTTGTCACCCTTCTGTATGGGCAATTTTGAGTCTCTAATTACCCTGGTATGCATGTCTGTGGACTGTGGGAGGAAACCGCTGTTCCCAAAGGAGGCCCATGTGAACACAGAGAGAACATGTGAACTCCACACAGAGATGACCTTACACCAAGTTCATGTTCTTCTCAAAAGCCAAACAGAACACAGGGAAATCCCAGAGCTTTAATTTAACTTACATGTGTAAATATGAATGGCGTTGCCTCAGAGTAAGAATGCCATGGGTTCAAGTTGGGCTTGAAACTTTCCTGTGTGGAGTTTGCATGTTCTCTCCGTGTTCACGAGGGGTTTCTTTGGGAACTCCGGCTTCCGCTGTTCAAAGACCTGCATACTGGGCTATTTAGAGACTCGAAATTGCTGATATGGGTGACAGTAAAACTAAAAACGTGTGGACAAACATAAAAAATGCAAATGCTGCTGTTCATTTTCCTGGCATTGTGTGGGTCCACTCGCACACTTAAAGGTGGAAAGGTGACCGCAATCGACTGCAGAGTTATTCACCTTTGGCGCCTAAATCACCACTAAATAATCCGTAGATATGAGCATGTGGGTAACTGGAGTGTGACCTCTGTGATGGATTAGCGAACTGCCCAGGGTGTGTCCCTCCCTAACTTCCTCTTGTGTACGGCGTTTGATGTCCGAGCTCTAATATTTTCCAGCTTTCTTTCTCGTGAAAGGGGACGGGAGGTGCCACGATCGTTGTCCGGAAAGCACTTTCGAATCCCGCCTGGCTTCGTTCAACTTCCCCGCTCATGAGGCTGCGAGGGAGGAGTGTCCAAGTGGCAAAACATCAAAGCACCTCCCCGCAAAAAAAAAAGGATGTGATTTTCTGTTATGTCAAAATTCTAAGTTGTCGATTCAACTTAAAATTGTGATGTTTCTGTGAAACAATAATAGAGAAATATGTGTTGAATTAACTCTGATTGACCTGGCGACTTAAATCTGGCTGAAATAACAAAAGGCAGAGCTGTTGTCTTTAAATAGTGTGGGGCAGGAGTGTAAAATATGCCTCCCACCGGTGTAACAGATGTAGTAATATGAGAATCAACTATACTGTGTACATCAATACTGCACAACCCTGTCCTCTGGGACCATAGGCCAGATCCTCATTAATAATCAAGCCTTTGATTGGTTACTTCACATTAATAATCAAGCCTTTAATTGATTACTTCACATTATTAATCAAGCCTTTGGTTGGTTACTGCACATTATTAATCAAGCCTTTGATTGGTAACATCGCATTATTAATCAAGCCTTTGATTGGTTACATTGCATTATTAATCAAGCCTTTGATTGGTTACATCGCATTATTAATCAAGCCTTTGATTGGTTACATCGCATTATTAATCAAGCCTTTATTTGGTTACATCGCATTATTAATCAAGCCTTTGATTGATAACATCACATTATTAATCAAGCCTTTGATTGGTTACATCGCATTATTAATCAAGCCTTTGATTGGTTACATTGCATTATTAATCAAGCCTTTGATTGGTAACATTGCATTATTAATCGAGCCGTTGATTGGTTACATCGCATTATTAATCAAGCCTTTGATTGGTAACATCGTATTATTAATCGAGCCTTTGATTGGTAACATCGCATTATTAATCAAGCCTTTGATTGGTAACATCGCATTATTAATAGAGCCCTTGATTGGTAACATCGCATTATTAATCAAGCCTTTGATTGCATCAGGTGAGATTGAGGAGAAACCCAGTAGCTGGACCTGGCAGGTGGTCTCCAATGAGAGGATTCGGACTGTCTGATCTATATTATGAAACTGAAGGATCTGGTTTACAGTGCTGAGGGATTCATTCAATGCTTTCATCATAGAAAGCAAGCAGGAAGTGACTACATGAAGCTTATTAAATCCTGCTCTTTAATTACCTTGGAATGAAGGTTAACT